CTCCTTAGTCTGTGATACATATGCTCCCAACGTTGATGTTGACACGACTTCTTCTAGTGTCATGATTTTCCGCGTGTATAGTTATTTGTTTCCTTTTTATTGTGAATTAGCTGAAGTTTTTTTTCTTCAACAATTCATGCATTTTGTTTCATCTCACTGTATCCCCTACAATGAACCCTCTCTTAATCCACTTCTTCCCTGTTTCCATGCCTTCTTCTTTCCTTTTTGAGGTAATGACCATGCATTGATCTCAAAAGGTCGATTATTCTAAGGTGTCCATACCAACCTAGTTATTGTTCCCCCTGTAGACCTGTTACTGTTTTCTCTACTGTTCTTTCCATAAAAATCCCACAAGGGTTAAGGTAGTTCATTGGGGGGAGGGGGAGAGGGGAGGAGATAGGCAGAGTGCAGCCAGTGGTTTTGAAAACTTGTTACCAAGTCCAGAATCTGTGCTCAGTAAATCTCGGGGGAACAGGCTTTCTGTGCCCAGGAAGCCTATATCGTTTGCAGAAATTTAGGGCCCGTTTGTGCCTTGGTAGGAGCCCCGCCATATAACAGGGAACACATTGGGCTACTAACCACAAGGTCAGCTGTTTGAAAGCACCTGTTCTCCGCAGGAGGAGGAGGAAGCTGCCTACTCTCACAGTTACAGTCTCAGAGAACCACCAGGATAGTTGTAGTCTGTCCTACAGGGTTGCTAGGAATCAGTCGACTTGATGACGGTGAGTTTGGTTATTTGGTTTGTGACCTGGTGGCACTCTGGGTGCGACTCTGGGCTGCTAATGGTAAGACCTGAAGCTCACACCCGCCAGCCGCTCCATGGGAGAAAGGGAAGGCTGTCTGCTCCCAGAAAGAGTTGCAGTTTTAGGAACTCTCTTCAGGGTCACGGAGTCAAAATTGCCTTGATGGTCACGCGTTGCTGTGCCTGGTCATGCCGGTGATGTCCAGACGTAAACAATAAGGGCAATGTGGAGAAGGCTGGCGACAAGATCGCTTTCAGGACTGCCTTGGTGTGGGGCAGAAATTTCCAGCCTCTCGTAGGGAAGGGGTGAATGAGCTCAATTCCTCTGAAAGGTTCAGACACCAAGCAGGTCCCAGGCCCTATGGGTTTCATGAGCCATCTCACCCTCAGGTTGTGGTTGTGGCCATGACCCAAAAGGGAGGCCCCCCTCGTGGCCCAAGGTGGCAAGTCGCTGGTCCTCACTTAGTGGGCTGCAGACCCTCTGCATGCAGGTACACGTCCATTTGTCCTCATTCGGGATTCTCCAGAGCCTACACAGATGGCTATCCAGAGATGCTCAATAAATGCTTGATGAACCAGCAATAGGAGAGTGGAGAAATGATGAACAGCTGCTGCAGGATGACCTGGAAACTGCCTGGGGGCCCTAATGCTGATAAAAAGGACTTGGGCAAGAGAACACTTAAAACTTTCCCAGTGGTACCCCTAGCCAGAGGAAAACGTTTACCAATCTGTGACCCAACGCTGTGGTATTGAAAGAGAAGACCCTCAGCACGGGGATGGACACAGTGGCTGCAACAAGGGGCTTAAACAAAACAATGGTGAGGATAGTGTAGGATTGGCAGTCTTTCATTCTGTTGTGCCCAGATTCGCTAGGAGTTGTTGGAATGCATGTGACACCACATAACGGTGACCAAAAGTAAAATTGTTACAGCTGCAAAGTAATTTCATTGACAAATTCACAATAAAGTTATGTTATAGTACCATCTATAATTTTGATTCCATGAAATGTAGTTCATTGATCCGAAGTTTTGAAATTTATGGATGCCACTCTCTGTGAAACTAGAATTAAGCTAGATAAAAATTCTCAGAGCAATCAACTTCATAACTTTTTTTGTGGGGGTCACTTGTTAGCCTGCTCACTAGTCACGATTTTTGGTGTGTGTGTGTGCATAGGTATTTGAAGGGTTTGGGTATAGATGGCCTGGAGGCTATTTTTTCTTTAAGCCTTGATTCTTTCCTGCTACTAAGTGGTATAAGGTGCCCTGGCCTTCTGGTGGCATTATTGGCTTTGATCGAATCTTTAAGATGTGCTTCATCGAAGTGGCCGTTGCTTTCAAGTTTTGACACAACAGTCCATATACAAAATACGTTTAATGATCATTCGTGTGAGTAGATTTATATAAACAGAAAATAGCTCCATATTTTCTTTGTCAAGCAATCACACAAAACGCTAGAACCAACACAATTAGGAGACAGAAGCCACGGGGGCAAGGGTGGAGATACTCTATGTAAGACAAAAGCGCCATCTGGAGGAGTCATCTGAAACTACAATGCAGCAACCAAAGATACTCTTCTCCCCCACCTTGCCCTCTCCCCCACTTCCAAGCATTCAAGTACAATTTTTGAACTTGTGGGCAACAAAGGCAGGAATGAAAGATCCTCTTTGCGTGGCCTGAGCTCCGATTACTTCAAGCTTCCAGTAGAGGGCTCCTGAGAATATTGTTAACTGAGTGAGGTACTTCCAGCAGAACCGGACATGGAATCCTGACATCTGAAGAGGATTCACATTGCCTTGTTAATAAATATAAGTCGGAAAGTTCTAGGTAAAAGGAAAACACATAACTAGGTCCCCACTTGCTGTGTCCTGTTTTCTCTTCTCCCTGCACCGGGTAGGGCTTCATACACATCCATCAGTGTGTATTCCCCTTATCCACAATGAGATTAAGTAAATAAGTGATAGCTGTGTTTTGTCAACGGTATTTTGATTTTGACAGAGTAAACATCTTAGTTAAAAAGATAACCAGCAGTTTCTATTACATGTCAACTGTTAGTGGGTAAGTCTAAGTGGAGCAGGAGAACATCTCCTTTATCAACACGCAATTCTTCCTGTAAACAACTAGGTCTATCCTTCACTGGTGACGCTGTTTCAGTGAAAAAGTTGGGAAGGGGGTCACATGTAACCTCTAAAAGGTAGCTGTATACATCTGTATTTCTCTTTATAATGAGATCCTAGATGGAGTGTCTAGGTGGTGCAAACAGATCACCACAAGGTTGGAGGTTCAAGTTCCAAGACCATTTGGAGGCTCCTCGGAAGAAAGGCATGGAGATCTACTTCCAAAAAGGCAGCCGCTGCGAACTCCGTGGAACACCGTTCGAATCTGACATCATGCGTTTGTCCTGAGTCAGACTCAATGGGAACTGGCTAGCCTGGCTTTTAGAGATACTGCTATTTTGAGAGCATTTCATTGTTTTCTACCTCGATGCTTCCCAAGTATCTCTGGTGAAGAACTGTTCTTCAGTGTCTTGTCTCTTCATTCCCCATCACTGGAGGGACCAATACTTGGGTAAATTAAGATAAAACACCTTTTATGGCAACATCTCAATGTTCTGTCTCGCTTTCTGCACTTAACTTGCCTTACGCGGTGAACCATGTACCGGTGGCACATGGCTGCATCTCACGGCCACTGCCCCACCCTCTGCCTTCTCTTTGTAAAAATACCTGGAATTGCCCTAACGCTCTCAGTCCACCATTACCACTACTGTTTCCTTCAAGAACTGGACTTACGACTTCCTTCGCCTTCCCCCTCCACTTCAGATCTCCTGTCTACCTTTTAAAAGAATATAGTCTTTGTATCCATAATGACAAAAAAGCTGAAAAATTTCTAGAGTCCATTTAAAACTGACCCTCTACTTGCAACGTGTTTGTGCAACTCTTCCATTGCCTTGTTCTGCTTTGCTAGCCTTGGGGGCCATGAATTTGGCCTAGATACCAGAAGTTTGTGTGTAAGACACTTGGGTAGAATAGAAGTTTGAGTCGTTGAGGAAAACAGAAGAGACTTCTCTAGGCAAACAACATAGCTGACCAAACACACACTTTTTTGATATCACATGAACAGGAGCACATTCAGAGCGCTCTCTCTTCTCCTCCCCACTTTGCCGGACCACAAAAGGAAAGAGTCTTTTGCTGGCTCGGCAGCTGTAGATTTCCGGGGTTCCCTTCATTCACTAATTGGAAAGCAATTTTTTCCTGATCCCAGTAACCCTAGACAAAACTCCACATGGTCATATGTTCAGAAAAGTGTTCATACATTTCCATTTATAAGGCACAAAACCCACAGATTGATCAGAAAGAGATAGGAAACAAAGATTTCAAGACAATAAAGCAGCCTAGTTAATAGAGGAGGTTCATCCTACTGGAGTTAAAACAAACCACTTCCCTGTTCAGCCGACGCAGACTGCCTGAAGACATATGCCTCTGAGGAGGTGCCCACAGCCTTCGGTCCTTGCATCCTCGATTGGGTCAGTGCAGAAGCACAGTCCTGCGAGAGGGCTGTGTCACTGGAACACATCAATCCCAAACTCCGTCTACCCCATAGAAGCTGCTGGTCAGAGGCTTCCAGCTACAGGGTGCCCACTTGTACAGTCGGGCCAAGAGGAGCCTCTTGGGTCATCCCAGCATGAGCATTCAAACTTACTTGGGTCCTGGGGCTTGATTATTTTAGAGGGTCTGCTCTAAGCTGAGGCGTCTCTGGGTGATACAAAGAGTCAAGCATTCAGAGCTAAGCCTAAAGGTTGGTGGTTGGAACCACCTAATGGCTCCCGGGAGAAAGACCTGACGATCTGCTCCCCTAAAGATCACAGCCTTAAAAACCCTTGGGGCTGTTCTGCTATCACCTGGGCTTGCGATGAGTCACAATCAACTCAACAGCACCCGACAACTAGCCAAAAGGTTGGTGGTCTGAGCCCACCAAGAGACACCTTGAAAGGCAGGCCTGGTGACTTGCATGTGAAAGGCCACTGCCTAGAAAACTTTATGGAACGGGTCTACTCTACACACAGGGCGCTGCCAGGAGTCAGAATTCCCAACTCGATGGCAACTAATAGTAAATGCTAAGCCAGCAGTTCTCCACCTGTGGGTCGCGATCCCTGTGGGGGTCAAACGACCCTTTCACAGGGGTCACCCGATTCATAACAGCAGCAAAATGACAGTTATGAAGTAGCAACGACAATAATGTTATGATTGGGGGGGTCACTACAACATGAGGAACTGTATTATAAAGGGTCATGGCATTAGGAAGATTGAGAACCACTGCTCTAAGCTGAAGCAGAGTGCCACCCTGAGGACCCTGATGGGGGGAGCTGTGTGCGTGTCATGGGATAGCATCTGGTTAGGAGAATGGATTTGGGGTTCCTCTTGAATAAGAACCCTCATCGTGAGTCAGAATTGGGTGGTTGACAACTGGTTTGAAAGGAACCCTTAGAACCAATTGACACTATAGGTAGACCCCACAGCTCCCCTGTAATCCTGCACGCCACAGGTATAAAACAGAAGGGTCCCACGACACTGCAGTTATCTGAGCTTGTTGGCTGGGCCTTCTGGTGGCTCTTGGCACTCGGCTTACTAGTACCGTTTATATTATTAGTCTTTCTGAGAACAAGTTTCCTGAATATCCAGATGGATCCAAGCATTGCCTGGAAGTGTGGCTGCTCTTCGTCCGTTCTGTTACCATGGAAGGTGCAGCTGGGAGTGGGAGATGGACGGCACTTCAGGGAAATCACTTCAGCCCATCAGATAGGCGGTCATCCTGAGAAAAGGGTCAGTTGTTACAATGGAGAGAGGAGGGGCCAGAAATCAGATGAACTGAGCACTTGACGGTGTCTAAGGTTTTCACGGAAGTATCTTGAAGATTCCGATTGTGTTACCTTAGACAATCTTAAATCCAAATGAAATTGGGACCTTAGAAGCTATTCAGTTACCAAGCCAACATAGGATGGCCATTCCAATGGGGCATGGACCAGCCACCTACTTCCTTCATTCCTTTATTCTCCCTTTTGCTCTAGACATGCCCCTGGAGGTCACGAATTGTCCCAAACTTTGAGGCGCGAAGATTGTTCGCCTTCATTCAGCCTCCCGTGATTCTTAGCCCTTTGTAAGGCTCTGACCCAGGGGGAGACAATACTCCTGTTATCATAAGCAGCAGCAGCAGCAAAACTCTTTAATCCTAGAACGTTCTAGTGCTGCAGTCATAGTACAACCTTGGGAATATGTATCATTCGTTGAAAAGCCCATCCTTTAGAAGAAAACACCAGCCCCTAGTGTTGCACCATTTCCCCCTCATCACAAGCGGCCACCTCCACACACCACTCCAGCTTCGGGCCTCAGGAATCTTTCTTGGTCAGCCTGGCCTTGACTTTGTGCCTCAAGAAGGCGGCGGTGGCGCCGCTGCAGGCAGTCAAGAAAAAGAAGGAGAGGCAGGCCGTGTAGATGGACAGGGGGCTGTGGCGTTGCAGGAAGATCTCCTGGCGGCCCTGGAAGTCCAGGAGAATGGCCTCCAGCTGGGAGAGCGTGCAGATGGACAGAAAGGCGTGGAAGATCTGATGCCCGTGGCCCACGATGTCACAGGAGCCCGGGAAGTACTTCTCGGGCACGGGGCAGGAGAAGAAGTAAGCGCTGACCAGGAAGAAGACAATCTGGAGGGTGTGGTACCAGGCCGCCTGCTCCTGGCAGCCTGCCAGGTGGCACAGGGCCACGCGATGTGCCACGGGGCTGATGTCTAGGACGAAGGCCAGCCCGGCCGGTACCACTTGACAGATCTTCCGCATGACGGGGTAAGGCCTCCGGTAGCGGTACTTGGCATAGCAACAGCCCGCGCAGGACAACCAGCCGCAGAAGGCAGCGGCCGGCAGGAAGAAGAGCCAGAAGCGCTCGTACCACGCCTGGTCGGCGCTGTAGAAGAAGTGCGCCAAGGCGCTGCCGTACTGGTACACGCACACGCCCACGTAGTCGGCGAAGTAGAAGGTGTAGTGGGAGAGCTCCGACTTGGACTGCAGCAGGTGGGCCAGCAGGCTGCAGGTGAGGTACGTGATGGAGGACAGGACGTAGAGGAGCAGCGGCAGGGCGTGCGGCGAGGCCCAGGCCACGGGCAGGGCGTCGGCCTCGGCGAAGGCCCAGAAGCGCAGCAGGACGGCCAGGGCGGCCAGCAGGTGGGTCCACACGTTGACCACCTCGTTGTGTTTCTGGAAGAGGCTGAGGAAGTAGTAGCGCCACTCGTGGCCCGTGGGGCGATAGCCGGAGCGGATGTAGGGCTCGCGGAAGAGCTGCGGCACGTCGCTCTCGGGCACGGTGCAAGGCATCTTGGGAAGGCCGTCCTCGAGGATCTTGGGTAGGCGGCGCAGCTGCTGCCCGCTCACCGACAGGGTGCTCAGGCGCTCCAAGATGGCGGTCGTCATGGCGGCTCCGTCACGTCACCGGCGAGCGGGTGCTGCAACCTGGAGAAAAACGGAGTCACGTCCGTCAGACGGCGGTGAGCGAGCGAGCGGGGGCACCCGCACGGGGCAGGGGCTCCGCTGGCTAAGGAAGCGCGGCCTTCCACGGCCGTCGGCCAGGCGGCTTCCCCTGGCTCGTCAAGTTGGACGCACCCCGCCTGTGGCCGGAACATTCCGAGCCTGCAGCAGTGGACCCACGGCAGGCAGGGCGAGGGGCGGCACGACCCCGACCACGGGAATGCTAGCCACCTCCCTGGTTTTCAGTGACACGATGAGCCCTCACCAAGCCCGTCCGCCTTTGGAACCAGTGGCTGCCAACTCCGGACTCACGGTGACCCACCCCTGCCCCCCTGCATCGGCGTAGAACTGGGCTCCCGAGGGTTGTTAACCGGGATGTTTGCGGCTGTAGACAGCCTGGTCTTTCTTTCGAGGTGTTTCTCAAAACAACACCTTTTACTTAGCAGCCACGCTTGTTGATCACACACAAGGACCATCCTGGGGCACCCATTAGAAAGGATTGTCTGTTTTTAAATTGTAACCATCAAACTGGCTTTAAGTATAACTGCTATACTAAAATATAACAATGGTACCTACTGATATTACTAAAGATAGGCTTACATTTCTTTAGCATCTCGCCTGAAATTGCCCGTGAATTTCACAGGTGACTTGGTAATTTGAGACGAGCACCTGATTAACCTCAAAATAAAGACAAATGATAATCAGGTAGGGAAGGACCAATGTAGAGCCTGGGAAATATTTTAATATCACACAAAGTAAACACATGGTTTCGTTTTAACATAAAATCTAAACACAAACGTAATTGCTGTTTTTGAAACTATTTAATCAAGTGGCTTTGGATTTTCTCTTGTCTAACAACATCGATATTCAATCAATTTATCGATTTAGACTTTATCGGGTCTAAAACACATTTGACTTGCAATTGGAATTTCTAGTTGATGAATAAGCCAGATGAGGTCAGTGGTGAATATTTTATCAAATGTACCACAAAACAGCAGTTTTCCATAAATGCTTTACTCACTATCTAGGATTCTAGGTTATAAAGAAGGCTCACCTGAAAGGCTTTGGGCTTTTCTAGATACATTTATCAAATAAGACAGGAGCCCTGGTGGCATAGTGGGTTACATGTTGGGTTGCTAACCTCAAGGTCAGTAGTTCAAACCCATCAACTGTTCTCAAGGAGAAAGAGGAGACTTTCTGCTGCTGTAAAGATTTACAACCTCAGAAACCCAAAGAGGCAGTTCTACTCCGCCCTATTGGGTTGATAGGAGTCGAATGAACTTGAAGGCAGTTTGTGTTTTGGGATAATTAAGTAGGAGCTCTAGCGGCACAATGGGTAAGTGCTCAACTGTTAACCCAAAGGCTAACAGTTGCGACCCACCCAGTAGCTTGTTAGGATGCAGACCTGGCAATATATCCTATAAATCTCACAGCCTAGGAGACCCTGTGAGAGCCCTTGGTGACTCCTGGTTACAGGTTGGGCTGCTGTGAGGTCAGCAGTTGAAAACCACCAGCCATTCTGAGGGAGAACAATGAGGTTTCTACTGTAAAGAGCTGCATTCTCAGAAACCCACAGGGAAACTTCTACCTGTCCGATGCAGTCACCAAGAGTCAGTATTGACTTGATGGCAGTTAGTTGGTGAGTTTGTTCTTTCTAGGAAACCCTGTAGGGCAGTACTACTCTCTGACATGGGATTGCCATGGGTTGCAAATTAACTCAATGACAACAAAACACTGGCATAACATCAGTTTCAACTCCTAGTGACCCTTATAAGGACAGAGTAGAACGTCTCTGCAGGCTTTCCTAGACTGCAAATCGTTACTCATCTCTTTCTCTCAGAGCAGCTAGAGGGGTTGAACTGCCGATCTTGTAGTGATCAGTACAATCCACTCTGCCACTAGGGTTCCTTACATCAACAACCAGACGCTATTAAATATATTTGTTAAACTGAGGCTAGTAACATGAAATGCTCTATCCAATAAATGCACATGTATATTATACATACTGACATTACTAATATATTCTTTAGCACTTTTTTCTGTACTAACTAATTTCACTGGTAGCTTGAAAATATGGGGTAAGCAATGAAATGAACAACAACAAAAGACAGATAAACAATTTATCAATTAGGTCAGAAGAGGGCAATTGTGTTGATGAAGTTGATATTTAGTGAATATCTTGGGATTGTTTTTAGAGCTATATAGGATTAACACACAGGCTAAATTTGCTTTCCTATAAAATATAATAATGAAGATTGGCATTTGGTATTCAGTTCTTAAAAAGAAGTCAGCCAACGGCTCCACGGCAGAAAGAGTGGGCTTTCTACTGCCGTAAACATTTAGTGCCGGAAACCCACAGGGGGCTCGAGGAGTCAGGATTGACTCGCGGGCAGTGAGTTTGGTTTTTGTTTTGGACTTTCTCCTCCTCGGTAACTAGAGTGAGCCGGGCATTCCTCGTCTTGTTGGATTGTTTTCATTGTGCTTCGCAGATACTGCCTGGGCTACAATGGGCAGGTCTGTGGCTACTCTGCGTCGAGCAAATCTGCCGCTGCCATTTTCCCAGTGGCATGTGCTCACATCACGTTTCTTTGTCTCTGAGTTTTGCAATTGGCACAGCGTTTCAAATTTAAAAGTGGTGATGCACAGTGAATGGACTACAGCATGGCGTAAGCACCAATTTTTTTTTATTTATGGGGGACGAAAACATTGTGTGACTTGCTTTACTGTGGTGTGGAATTGAACCTACAATCTTTCTGAGGTATGCCTGTACTCTAAGAATCTCAAGCCTCAAAACATCTTTACTTTCATCTGGAATTAGATGAGCAAAGTGATTATTTCCTGCAGAAAGGAAGAGTTTACTGGCAAAAGAAATGGACTTTCGGTGCATGGACAGTTGTTACCACTCACACTTCCTTATTTCCAAAGCTGTTTTCCTCAGAAAAGTTTAAAACTTGACTTACCTCAGTGGCTCCCTTTGACTGAGACAGAAGCATCAAGTACTGCTTAAGGGACTACTGATTTTATGGAAAATATTTAGTCTTCTTACTTACACTCCTTAATATTAAGAGAGAGGAAAAATGTGTCTAATCAGGGAAAATGTGCAGAGCATGAAAATTAATAAATTATGAAAGTAGTCCAGGGCGATCTGAAATCAAGCTTTGATGTTGCCACTTACTAAGTGACAATCAGTAAATGTAAAACAACTCTCTAAGCCTCACATTCATCGACTGTAAAGGGGGGAGGGGTAATAACTACATAACACACAGGATGCTGTGATGGTTAAATGATAGAATCTAAAATATAAAATGGGGAACAGTTCTTCCCAGCCCAGGAAACGTACTCAGTAAAGGTTAAGTACAACTGATATTTTATTACAATGAGCTGGAATCTGTGCTAGCTACTAGGGGAACAACGGCGAATCGTTTCTGCCTCCAGGAGACCACTGGCCTCAGGATCCATTGAAGGGATGCTGACAAAAACATGCCTTACATGCTTCCTAGAGGTGGGTACTGGTAAAATGGTACAACTCTGACACACACCTTTCCTGATTTTAAATCCTGCAATATTCCCTTGTTCTGTTCAGACAGTTGCCTCTTGATTATACACAGATTCTGCATGAACACAGGAGTGTTTTGGAATTCCCATTTTTTTTCAAAGCTATCCATAGTTTGTTATGGTTCACATAGTCTAATGCTTTTACCTAATCAATAAAACACAAGTTAATATCTTTCGGTATTCTTTGCTTTCAGCCAAGACCCAGTTGACATCAGCAAAGTGCTTGCTGTTTCCAATGCAAATGCAAATGACATTTTATATTTTTTTAAAAATATGTAAATAAATACTTTTATTGGGGGCTCTTACACCTCTTATCACAATCCATACAATTATGTTGTGTTAAGCACATTTGAACATATGCTGCCATCATCATTTTCAAAGCATTTTCTTTCTACTTGAGCCCTTGATATCAGCTTCTCACTTTCCCCCTCCCTCCCCCATCCGTCCTCCCTCATGAACCCTTGATAAGTTCTAGATTATTAATTTCATATCTTAAATCATCCTCTGTCGCCCTTTACCCACTTTTCTGTTGTTCATCCCCCTGGGAGGGGATTATATGTTGATCATTGTGATTGACTCCCCCTTTCTCCCCCCACCTTCTCCTTATCCTCCTGGTATCTCTATTCTCATTATTGATCCTGAGGAGTTTATCTATTCTGGTATCCCTGTGTTATGGGCTCTTATCTGTAGCAGTGTGCATGTTCTTGTCTACTCGAATTTGTTAGGTAGAATTGAGGTCATGATAGTGGGGGGGGGGAAGCATTAAAGAACTAGAGGAAAGTTGT